TATCAGATAGATAAGACTTGAACCAATTTAGTGGAATTCCTGATATACCAAAGTAGTTAAGCATCTTTTTTAATAGTATTTCATGGTTTATACAATCAAAGGCCTTACGTACATCAAGGAACACGACACAATTTATTTTGCCATTGTCCATATTCTCAAGTAGATCGTCACACATTTGTATCAAAGAGGACAGTGTGGAGTGTTTAGGTCGAAATCCCGATTGAAACTTGGAGAGTAAGAAATTATCAGAAACAAAGCTATAAATTTGTCTAAAAACCTCTCTTTCAAAAACCTTACTTACGATTGGCAGTATAGAAATGAGAGAGTCAATTGAAATCGGGAAGCACAATACTATAGATCAGGAGGGAAAGCCACTAGATAGTACGTGGCGTGCTCTCTTTAATGTGCAAAATTAATTTCTCTTGTCTTGGACAAAGATTAAGTATATAAAGATGGCCGACTCGCGGAAAATTCATTTGTTCTCGGTGTCCCCCGTTTCGAAAGCCCACGCGGTTTCCACGCGTTTCGTCTGGTAAGCGCCGAACCAAATTTTTGTATTGAATTGTATGGCGAAATGCCGAATTTTCACAATAAAACAGCAATTTAAAAAACATCTACCGTCCGATCTTTATTTTGAGGACAAAATTTGACAGAACATGTCAAGCTGCGTCTGTTAAAGGGAAAATTATTACACGAATATGTTTAAAACGAACGAAAATTTGGATAAACGACCTCCGAAGGAGTGAGATCTTATACTGTCAACAAGTCAGGTGAGATTCTTTTCATTTCTTGATCATTTTTCGATAGTGTTTTGTGAAATTTCGTACCTTAGACAACGGATGCATATAGGACTATTGCTAACTAACGCTAAAAATATGTTTGGGATGCGTACAACCAGAGTTTTTATATACTGTACAGGGAACAAACAATATACTAATACAAACAATATTCAAATATACAGAAATATTATTTTGTTTATATGCTAGTACCAAAATGTTTCGTTATACACAAAGATAGTAAACGCATTTAGACCTGAAATATATCTTTGAGACCAAACACAATTGACCATTGACGGTCCCTCCTTATAATAAGTACAACCTCAAACTGGTTGTCTCTGTGTGTGCAGCTGTGTTTCATCCAATTGTATTTCTGTAAAATACACCCAATAAATAATCAAATTATTCTCTTTTTAGTTGAATGATAGACTTTCCATGTTAAAAGAACTACAAATGTACACTTTGACTATCTGGGTAAAAGGCAATGACAATGGATTGTTGATCAACAATGTTTTGTGGAATGCTTACCTATCCAATTTGAAAAATACTGTCAAATATTCTATACATTTTGATGTTCTGAGTTTGATTATTTTATTGTATATTCCACATTGACTTAACCCTTATTAGGGTATACAAAACTTATAGTATTGTTAAATGTAAACATACATGTGCACCTCTTCAAACATAATGTGAGTTGTGTTAGATACTGCTTTCTCTGATTGCACTCAAGCTGCCAAGAAATAGCAATTATTTTTGTTACCGAAGAAAATGGTATCAAAGCATATCCCTCATTATATTAAAATGCTACTGGATAACTGATCCCATAACAGTAATTAAATATTATTGTAATTATTAAACATTTTGTTTGTATATGTGAGTTAATAGCTTGTTTGGACTATTGCACATGGTGAGTTATTGCTTACTTGGACTATTGCACTCAGTAAAATTAGCTTTGAAACAGTGCCTAATACACTTGTCATCGGAAACACGCACTCCTCCACCCCAGGGGAAACATGGGCATAAATAGACTTTTTTAGAAACTAATGAAAGAAAAAGCCCCAACATAGGGGCAAGCAAAACAGGCCAAAGCCACTTCTAGAATAACACATTTAGTAAAAGTTTCAAACATGGAATATTTAAAGTAGAATGATGAATAACTTCAAACATAGAACACTAACATGGCTTCTTGTGCAAAAACATCAGTCGTCCATTCGACAATAGGTAGCCCACATGTAATCATGCCTAATCTTGTCCTCAAACTACACCTCTCACAGTCTCACCTCCCACCCACCCATGTTTCCCCGGGGTGGGTGTGTGTGGGTGGTGGTGGTGGTGATGGGGGGTGGTCCGATGACAAGTGCATAATACATATAGCAGATTTACAACAGACAAGGTGCTTGCTACAAAGACAATTTCTTGAGTTTAAGAGTCCAAATAAGTAATAACACAACATGCACATTCAAAGTTTAAGGTTTTGAAAGGAAATTAAATTACTGGCATGTATTTCATCATATTTTGTGTCTTTTGTGAATATTCGTTTAATGGTTTGGTTTAAAAACATAGTAAAAGTTGTGTACAGTAGTGAATGATCAATACTAAAATACACAAATTTAGTTTTTCAAAGGCAAAAACGTAATTCATTCCAATTTATCTCGTTTTATACATGTATTCCTAATATTTTTTGATAATTTCAATGTATATATTAGTTTTTAAAACATTTTACATTATAATAAATGATTTTGACCTTGATTTTCACAATTGTCAAATATAAACTATTTTTGCACTATTTTTTTTCTTTTTATCAAAAGTATAAATTATCCAAATTAAAAAATATCCAAGACATCCAAGCAACGCATACAAATAGCACTTGACATTATAATAACCTAAAATCATCAAGACATTAGAAATACTTTAAAATTACTGCACGATTCAGTTTCAGACTGTGGAGTAAAATAGAACGATCAAACTCTGCAGTAAATTGTCTTTGTATATATATAAAAACTCTAGTTATACGCATCCCAAACATGTTTTTAGTGTCAGTTAACAATAGTCCTATATGCATCTGTTGTCTAAGGTACGAAATTTCACAAAACGAAATGAAATGAATGAAAGAAATGAAAAGAATCTCACCTGACTTGTTGACAGTATAAGATCTCACTCCTTCGGAGGTCATTTATCCAAATTTTCGTTCATTTTAAACATATTCGTGTAATAATCTACTGTTCAACAGACGCAGCTTGACATATTCCTTCAAATTTTGTGCTCAAAATAAAGATCGGACGGCAGATGTTTTAAAATCGCTGTTTTATTGCGAAAATTCGACATTTCTCCATTAACTTCAATACAAAAATTTAGTTCGGCGCTTACCAGACTCTCACGCATGCGCAGTGAAAAAGTGGGGACAGGATTTTCCGCGAGTCGGCCATCTTTATATACTTAATCTTTGTCTTGGATGCGCGCGCGTTAATTGGAATCACTTCACTACGTTTGAAATGACGTGGTTGATGTGCCGTTTAATTAAATTTCAAATGACGCGAGCCAACAGATCACGACACTCTTGTATCATAGATTAAGTAAGAACAGATGTGTAACTTCAGTAAAAAAGTTGTCCCACGGTCGCCATCTTCCTAGCAAGTGTCGCTCGCGTGATTATTCGTCATTTGGTAGTACGTCATTGCCTTTAAAAATGTTTTCAACACCTTTTCTAGAACTGTAATTGCTTTTAATAACTTTAAACATTCAACAAATGATGTTCTTGCATGTTTAATCCACAAATTTCGATCCAAGAAAGCCGCAATAAAATGCAAAAGTTCTTGTTTTCCACGACGCCATCTTCTTAGCAAGTGTCATGGCGTGAGCATGACGTGTACATCTAGGGAAATTTGAGGACACGAATTCCTATTAAGTTACGCATCTGGTATATACTTAATCTGTGCTTGTATATAAAAGAGCGTGTGAATTAAACAAGTCACATATTATTAGCACTGATGAAGATCCGGGCTTACGGATCGAAAGCTTTGCAGTAATAAATTTACGTGGTGTTTCCACAAACAAAAAACAATTAGACTGTTTATTGTTTACTTGAAGGAAGTGATGTTTTTGCCGTTATGCCAATGGGGATTGCTTGTCGTGAGGTGTTGGAATAGCAACATTACGACTGGGGTTAACTATAGTAACCTCTACTTGAGTTTCATTAATTTCAAACAGACTTGATACGTTATATGTTCCTCAAGAAAGTTACCTTTTGGTTGATGTCGACTCTGTTCTTGCACTGAAGAAAACAGCGCTTTTCGCGGTGAACATTTAGAGGCAGTTGCATATAAGTCAATCAATCAATCAATCAATCAATCAAAAACTTTATTTTAACACGGTGAAATCTACAGCATAACATTTTATAAGATAATTAACTAACATATAATTACAATTACGATATGACAATTAATATACACTTATCCAAACACTAAAATACTGATTTACAAGATTGCCGTGCGGGAGTCCATCTCATATAGAGAACAGATTGTCAATTGCTCTTTTGAATTGACTTAGGAAGCATGTTGTTCGAACATTTTTTGGTAACTCGTTCCATAAAACTGCCCCGCTATAACTGAAACTTCGCTTACCGTAGTTCGTTCTTGGTTTTGGTACAAATAAGGTGTGTTCAGAGTTTCTTAAGTTATATCGTGTGCTGCGAGATTCAAACAATTCATGGAGATAGAACGGAGTTAGATCGTTAATTGTTTTAAACATTAGTATAGCCTTATGCTTTTTCCGACGTGTTAAAAGATTATCCCAGCCCAGCTTATTAAAAAGGTCTTTGGAACTAGCATCATATTGAGATTTAGTGATGACCTTCGCTGCCCTATTTTGCAATTTGTCATTTAACGTGATATTCAAACCATCCCAAACTGAGCAATAATCAATGTGCGGTTGAATTAATGCTCCATAAATTTTCAGAGCAGTGTTTGTATCTATAAATTGGCGTATCCGTTTAAGAGCTCCAATGGCTGATGCAATCTTTTTGGAAATATTTTCGACATGTCGTGCCCATGTAAGATGCTCATCGATTTGCAAGCCTAAGGATTTCATTTCGTTGACTCTCTTAATAGTCTTTCCGTCGATTTCTATCCTTATGTGTTCGTTATCATGTACTAGTAATCTTTGACGAGATCCTATTATCATGAATTCCGTTTTAGCTACGTTAAGACTCGGTCTATTAGCTACTAGCTATTGATGAAGATTTTTCAATTCGGAGTTTATTATTTGCTCAAGCTCCGTGACGGAATTTGCTGCGATGCTAATATTAGTGTCGTGAGCAAACATTCTTGGAGAGGCTCTGTCGAGACAATTAGGCAAATCATTTATATATATTAAGAACAATAGAGGTCCCAAGTTACTGCCTTGTGGTACCCCACAGGTTATTTTAGCAGTTTCAGATAACTCACCATTGACGCAACATCTTTGACTGCGGTTGCTTAGGTATGATTCGAAGAATTTGATACCATTTTCATCAACGCCACAAATTCGTAACTTCCGTAAAAGAATGGTGTGATCAATAGTATCAAATGCTTTTTTAAGATCGATAAAAAATACTCCGTTAAGAAGGCCTTTATCTATATTTATTGACCGATTATCCGTGGCTTCTATTGGGGCAGTTAGTGTACTGTGCAATGATCGAAATCCAGATTGAGACGCAGATATTAGATTGTTGTTGTTCAGATACTCATACAACTGCTCAAAAGTAAACTTTTCAAAAATCTTTGCTACTACAGAAATAAAAGATATTGGTCGATAGTTGTTCATGTCGTCTTTTTTACCCTTTCTTAAAAATTCGAGTAACTCTCGCTAGCTTCCAGTCTGTAGGAAAGATGCTTGTACTTATAGTCTTATTAAATATTTGAGTTAACGATGGGGCAACTATTTCAGCTGAAATTCTTAAAAGTTTGCAAGGTATTTTGTCAAGACCAGCTGCTTTCCTTTCGTTAATTGCTTTTATTTTTTTGTAAACAGCATATACAGTGAGGGATTTCATTGAAAATGTGGTTTCAGCAGGCACAACATATACGTCAGGTTCTACGGTAGAGGGTGGTATATCGGATGCTAAATTTTCACCCACACTAGCAAAGTGAGAATTAAATGTCTTCGCTATTTGCTTGGGTGTATATATGGTTTCTTCACCCACTTTGATATTGGATATAATTTTGTAGCTAGAGGCATTACGAGAGTTTAATTCGTTAATACGTTTCCAGGTTGATTTTGGATTTTTCTTATTAGCCTCAAGGTTAACCTTAAAATATTGACTTTTTGCACTTTTAATTTCATTATTCGTGCTATTTCGTGAATGCTTATATTGTTGCCAAATTAATGGATCACCGGTCTGCTTAGCTTTCTTTTTCAGGAAATCTCTCTTACGCATTTTTTGCTTTAATTGGCTGGTGATCCAGGGAGATTTCTTTTCCCAACTCTTTTTGATCTGAGTGGTGCATGCTTGTCAATACAATTAATTAAACACTTTGCGATTTGCAAGGCTTCGATCGCTGAGAGAATATGGTAATTGCCGTTTGAAACGAAACGATCTGGACGCTCTGAACGCTCTCTTCTTTTGTAGAGTTCTTTACCAAATGAAATAACTGAAATAACTTTCGTACTTTCCACCGCCAGCAAGAATTGCACACACGATCTGATAAGTGAGACAATTTATTTATAACAATGGCGACAGTGAAGCACACATTACATTAATGCTAATGTGATCGCACGACTTCCCTCACGATTTGAAGTTTGAGACTGGTTTTCTGTTGAAATTCGTCCTAATTTGCTTGTTCCGATTTTAGTTGAAAATGAGCACTTGCAAATTTGGAAATTACTGACCGCGTTGCTTGCTTTCTTGGAGTTAAAGCACAGTCATTTACACATTGTTTCTTTTCTGAATAAGCACAGAAAACCCCGCAACATTTTAATGCGAGTTTGTTGTTAATATTTGGGTTGCTGTGATTGGTTCTTTTTTCACAATTGACGCGCGAATGGGGCGTGTTCTTAGCCACAGAATTGGGGGCAAACTACAGTATAAAATTATATAGTCATTGTGTCACTGTTTTGAAATTGATTTTTCGTTTGAAATTCTCCCAGGGTTTCTAAGCCTTAGAAAATCAAACATTTTCTGGGGGAGCATGCCCCCAGAAGTGTCTTGGTCAATCAAAAATGTTAGTTACGCCTGACAGTTCTCATAGCCATAGCACCTGTGGAGCGCAGCTTTTCAAAGCTGAAATTAGTGAAAACTGTTATGCGTTCAGTAATGAACCAGGAAACGCCTCGGTGAACTCTTGACTCTTGCGTGTGAGTGCGATCTGACAGACACGATTGATCTTGACGAAACCGCTAATCTGTGATCAAAACTGACTAAGCGCGGACACTTAATAAAAATATGTTTCACAGCAAACTGTACGTATTCTTGTAATATTCCTAATAAATGACGTCAATTTCCATGCTTTTTATGCAATTTTATTGCAACACACCAACTCACTAAGAGTCGGTCTGCATTCACATTTCAGTGGTGGTGACGTATTGAATGAGGCAGGGTTACAAAGCAAAGTTGGAAAAAGGGAGTTTATCCACTTAACAGTGCAGATGTTTTAGATTAAAATTTTGAATCTGCAAATAATCCAGAAACATCTTAAACAGACAAACACTTCTTTCATAGGGGTCCCACTAAAAATAATCCGCTGAATTTTTTTTGAAAATTCCAAAATCTCTGAAATTATAGTTGGAATTTTAAGTCCATAATACCCTCGCATATTCTTTAAAATTAATACACCCTTCGTTGAGGGCTAGAGGGGGATCTATATGGCCAGAATTAAAGGTTTAAAAAAATGATCAGAGTCGGACAGTAATATGAAGATTCTTGATTGTGCTGCCTAAAAGGAAAAGGAAATAAAATTACTAACATTGTGGTCAATAAAATATTTCTAAAATTAATTTAAATCATTCCGATATAATATTTATATAGATATTGATATTGATATCATGTCTTGTTAAAAGGCGTCAGTTTTTCCATTACTAGGTAGTTCAACTATGCTAATTTGCTGAATATTTTTTAACCTCCAAGATGTCATCCGAACTGACTGACAACAATATAAACAATATAGATCAATTTTTCAGAATTTTGCGGGCCAAATTCTTGAATTCTGTGCCCGCAGAAAACCTAACTTTAATTAGAGTTTATAGGAACCAACAACGGCAGAAAACAATACTCCATTTCTGCATGCGAGCCATACATTACTAAACTTAACAACAATCAGTGAATTCACAGAAAATAATGTGAATTTCAACTGTTGGCGTGGTTATTGAGCCGGCGTGAAAAGGATATAGTAGATAGCATGGCAGTTTGAACAACTACGATGCACTGATGGAATACAATTTATAGTCGGCTATTGACTTAAGTAATAATAAGTAATAATAATACTTTTCACCACTAGGCACTACAGTGTTAATTGCATCAAAATACTTTACATTTAATATACTTACAGAACATAGTGGTAAGGAAGCTTAAAAAGAAACCTTAAGGCTTATATAAATTTAAGCTCCCTTATGTGTTTCGGGGTAATATTACCAACATTCAAGAAATATTGAAAACATGTATGATGGATCAAGGATACACTTCACATAACAAATAACACCAATTTCATACCGTATAAATTAAAATAAAAAATAATACTTCCACACTATTCATAAAAAAAATAACACTGATTTCACACATCATAAGTTAAAGTCAAAATTTACTACTTCCACACATAATTGTCTTTTAAGGGACTATTTACATATTTAGGGTAAAGGAGGTTGTATCAGTTAGACCAGTGCATGGGTAACGAATTAAAAAATTTTGGTCCTTGAAACCTTATTGCAAATTGACGAATGTCCGTTCTACACAACGGCATTCTAATTGCCCTTGCATTCCGGGTACTATAAGAATGAAATATTTTGTTGAAATGAGCACGTCTTCACTGACGGTGTAATTTGCCAAACTACTAGAGAGGTTAAGTTAAGATTGACGTTTACTGAAGACCACTAACTGCTGAAAGCGCAAACATCAAATTACGTTTGAATTAGGCAAGGTCTACAAGTTTCAGAAGGTTTCGACAAGTTTTTAGCTAATTCATGCCACAAAGGGGCTTCGGTGGCGAAGTGGTTAGCATGACACTTGCCTTTCACCTCTAAGGCCGCAGGTTCGAATTTCAGTGAGAGCTTCTCAATGTGAGTTTCTCAATGTTACTCGAACCCAGTCCTCATGTGAAAAGAGTAAAAGTCAACGCTCTGCCGAAAGTCGTGGGTTTTCTCCGGGTACTCCGTGTTTCCTCCCACAGGGAAAGTTGACAGGGTGGGTTAGGCACATAGGATAGGTCCGGAGGCAGATCATTAATGAGGTATGGACTAATAGGGGCTGCTCAAGCGCCATTTGTAAGCTCAAAGTCTACCTCGGTCTGCTTCACGTCAGTCCGGTTCTATCTATCTATTCATAATGTAACCAGTCACTGAAAAGCCCTGTTAGGGAGTGTGCTGTGAAATATCTGTACCTCTGTACCTAATTGTACTTATTGTAGGCAGTATAGGGTAGTAAAAGTTTTAGTCCTAACTTCGAACAGCTAAACAGTCAACCTCAAAATATAACTTGAAGTTCACCGTTTGCGGTAGATGCGGGGTTCCAAAATAAAAGTCAATCTTTGGCCTTTCCACTTAGCTGAAATAGGATTTGGATCACTGTGACTGAGAAGAACACAGAAATGGAATGAAATTATAGTCGCGGTCACACTAGCGCTTGTGCTTGGAGATTACCACCGGATTAGCGTGCTTGCTTGAACACATACCAAGTTCATGCTAGAATTAAATTAAGCCAAGCACGTCGCGGTCACACTAAAAAAATGCAACGTTTGCTTGCTTGCCGCTGTTTACAGATAAAAATTAAAACCTACTAATAATCTAAAACCTACAAATATTAGTAACCAGCTCTCACTAAAGTACTATAGGCAAACTGGCTACATTATGGTACAAAGGATTCAGAAGAGAATACGGTATTGAACTAAGCTTAAAATATTTACAAATCATCAAAATGGAATTTCTACAGAAATGCTATTACAATTAACAAATATAAAACATTTTCCGTGTTGATATACAGTTATATCAACACGAGTGGAAATTGGGAAAACTAGAAATTGTGTGGAAACACGACGCCCGAAATGTTTTATACTATAGCACAAAGAAACATAAAGATAGAAATTTTCCGACGTTTCCGTGTTGACATTGAGTTATATCAACACGGATCTTAGCCAATCAGCGTTCAGAATTTACAAATGCTATATAATAATGGTTATTTTTAAATACGTTCGTAAGGTAACAACGTAGACACTGTCAAATAAGGTAACTGTACATACACATGACAGCATGAATCCTACCAATATAAAAGTTCAGGGCAAGACCATTGTCTGTTTCTAGAGCAAAATATATAATAACTTGTCCTTATGCAGCAGCCGGTTAGTTTTCTAATGATGAATTTTCTTTGCACATCGCTTAATCTTACTTCGCGGTCCAAGAAGTCATAGAACTGTTTACATTCATGACTTAAAACTCCAATCGCGCCAATGCATAAGTTAAAATACGTTACTTTGTTAAATCGTTCTCTTAAAAAGTTACAAAGATCCTTGTATCGTTCCCTTTTCCTTAAACAGTTTTTTGCCATATTAGTTTCAAAGCCGATTGTCAATTCAATAACATATATTTTGGTTGTTGTCTGATATTACCATGTCTGGTCGGTCATTACAGCCTGTGATCACAGATGGATTATCAAAACCAGAAATGTCTGCATCAACGTGAAAGTCCCTTTTGACACTAGATATGTACGTTGCTAGGTGTTTCAGCACTGAATTGTGTCTCCATGTGTATCGACCTTCGTCCAGGGATGTTTTACAAGAAGACTTGAATGATGTGGTTTCTTTGCACTTCACTTGATGCAAGTAGAAGTGCTCTTAGCAAGATTAATTAACCTGCAGCTTTGATGTAAGATATAAGGTTATGTTAATTAACATTGTATATAATTTATACACGGGCAAGAACTAAATTACTTTGAAATTTTGAATTTGGTTTCTTGTCAGATTTCCATACAGAAATACCGTTTATTCATTCGACTTTTCACTGCTTAGCGCGTTGTTGTGTAAGCAAAATAGTTCGAACCTACAGCGTTCTGTCTCAGCATTCAACTTAAAAATGACATGTCGGTTGAAATTACTTGTCTATTTGCCTCCTAAAACTTAACATATTGGAGAGGGACTAATTTCCTGGGGCAAGAGAAACAGAATATGTATTCTTTTGAATAATAATTTATAATCAAAAGAAAAGACGACAAGCTTAATCACATTAGAGACCTCAGACCTTACTAGTAGTACGCCAGTGAGCACGGCATGCATTAATACAATGAAATTCATGATATTAGAAATTTAGAAAACCAAACCCACAGGATTTTTTTCAAAAGAATGGGAAGGGGTGCAATAAACGTAGGCTTTATTTCAAAGAGAGCTAAATGGAAAATTTAACATTAAATGTTTTTAGAAATACCTTGTGCGATATGGTCACTTAATTAACAAACCTGACGTGAGAAAACTTTCTCAAAAATTGAACCTGACTGCTGTGAACACAACAGAAACCCCTTATACTGCTGACGAGATTTCAACTGGAATCAAAAGTCTTCAAAATTCGCTTGGTATAAAAGTAACAGGAGAATTAAATGAAGACACATTAAAAATTATGCAAGCTCCACGATGTGCCATGTCTGACAAGGGTCCAACCAAACCATTTCAAGTTAATGTTCACCATCGCAGCCGAAGGTATGCGGTATATCACAGAACTAGAGCTGGAACTTATAAAATATTTAGATGGACCAAGAAATACATCACGTGGCAAATCCATAAGCCGTGGACTGGAAGTATGTCAAAAGCCAAACAAGAAGAAATTTTTGAAAAAGCATTCAAGATTTGGGAGTATGCATCGCCATTAAAATTTGATAAAGGCACAACAACATCCGGGTCATGGCCTGATATCGATGTAGAATTTTACATAGGTAAGTCTTGAAATACCACTCCATTGCCCATATGCACTGATAGGTCTTGCAACAATACATGCAGTATAACATTATAACATGTTTCAGCAATAACAATAAGAAGAAAATTTTTATTTTATAAACTGGTAAAAGAAACCGGTCAGTCAATCATAGCTAGATTGGCTGGTATAAATTGGTGACCAGTATTTTTACAAGTGTATATTCAAAAGGTTGTCACAACTGCCTTTTTCATCCAAAGGCTGCGATCTTGCAATAATACATGCAGTATAACATACTAACATGTTTCAGTAAACAACCAAACTGTAATCAAAGTAATAATAACTCACCAAAATATAATCAAAATTTTCAGCCTCTCCTGATTCATTTTTAGGCCTCCATTGGCTAGACCACTGCTTGTATAATTAAAAATAAAAATACGTACTACCTTATCTTTGTCAGGTAATCATAATGATGCTCAACAATTTGATGGTCCAGGCGGTAAATTAGGTCATGCATTCCTGCCAGGAACCTCTAAAGCTGGGGATATTCACATGGACGCAGAAGAAAAATGGACTGAAACGTTCTTATATAATGTTGCGGTCCACGAAATAGGTCATAGTCTTGGCTTGGGTCATTCTTGGTACGACGATAGTGTCATGTATTCTGCGTACACAAGAACGAACCCTATAACTAGCCTTCATCAAGATGATCAAGATGGCGTGAGCAAAATTTACGGTAAGAAACAACATCGCTGATAGTGTGAACCCGGATTCTTCCATAATACCCTAAACATCCGAATATATAAGCCCCCATACCGAATCTAAGCCTTAGCTCTCCCGTGTATAAGCCCACCATTTTCACTAACCTCGGACAATGCCAAAAATTGTTAGAAATTGAGGTCCACGTCGTATTTTAACCGTATTTATTCATGGTAAATTAAAGGTGCTTACAGAACGTATAAAGAAAGCTTAGCGAAGCAGAAAAAGAACAAAGCATACTGTACAAGCGCGTGACTTGATCTAACCAATAAAAATGTGACTATAATTATGAGTGAGTCATTATACTAATGTCTATATGAAGTATTCAGTTTAACACTCCCATCTAATGACTACACAGCATGTTCTCAGTTCGACTATACTTAATAACACAAATCTATATTACGATTGACTTGTTCTCTAATAAAATGAAAAGACACGTCGATATGTTTAGTGCGATTGTGAAATTTTGAATTCTTAGAAAGTTCAATCGCCCTAGCTTGATTGTCCTCGAAGACTGTCGATGAAACACTCACTCACACATGGCCAGAAATCGAGGTCAGCCGGCGGGTTGTTGACCTGTGGGCTCAAGATCTAATTCTAAATACCTCACTTGTTATCATGACATGCAATAACGCAAGAATATAGCTTACCCACGCTTTTATAATAGCGGGAGTATACAATTATTACGTAATCATTTTCACTTCGTATCATCTTATCATGATAACAAGTCTTCAAAAGTGGACGGCTATTCTGCAATCGCTACTATGCAAAACACTTTATATAGCTATAATCAAACAAAAATAAACGTAAATAGTAATACTGGTAAAAGTAATCCCTTTATTATTGAAATCTCAGAACGAATCTTCGCCAACACAAACCAAATATATTAAATTTGCCGCGCCAAATGGCGCTTGTCTTTATGAATATACGAGCAAATTCTAAGAATTCTAATTCTGTGAACTAAGTTGACAAATGGTTTTTAAAATATCCATATGAATTATAAATAAAAATATGTGGCATTTGCACAAATTTGGTAATATTTAAATATGTCATAAAAATATGTGGTATTTGACTACATACCAGATGAGGATAAGTTTCCATGTTGATAGATAACTTCGGAATAGTTTCGAAAGAGTATAGGGAGAAAACAAGACAGCCAAAATTTCTGAAGCCAAAATGGCAAACACAATATAAACACCTGAATAACACGAGGCTAAACCATGCCCGTTCGCAGGTTAGATGGCGGACACGATGTGACATATAATCGCTGATTGGCTGAAATTAATATATAAGCTCGTCGCTGAATGGCTATGTGCTAACATACTGTCACGGGCACATCATATATATCTGCTTCGCAGATACAAACATCTCAGGAATGTAAAATGGCAGCAAAAAGCGAAGTGGAGAGCAATAATCTCAGCGCTTGGTGGACTAAATTAGTCACGAATCTGCGGCATGAAAATGCTATGTTTCAAGTCGTTCGGGAACAGGTTTAAGCAGGCCGTTGAGCCTTTAAATGCGGCTAAAAGCAAGGTATTGTCCACCTCGAATATGCGTAGACGTGGGACCGTGCGAAAAGTCGACCATATGTGGCCAAATTTACGTATAGGAAAACTTCACTTCGGCAAATCATGTCGATTTAGTAGGCGTTTATATACAAAGCGAGAAGTAGAAATATAAATCTCTCTGGAACATATCTACGCTACTCGGATTGTCGCTAGATTTTCCGGAGTTAATACGCCGCCATTTTTAATTTATTTGGTGAAAGCTTAAGAGGGAATCTCCACTATCACCGAGCAACTGGTGGCACATGATGAAAAATGAAATGTTTTCTTATTTTGTCCAGTGATACACTAATGTATACTTAGAAACGTGATGGGGTTTGTTTTCTGAAATATTATTTTAAACGCCGAAAAATTATCAAAACCTGACATGTACCCAAGATTCGTGAAATTAGCTAAAAACATAGTGAGTCATAGTTTCTCGAAAACTTCGTTTTGCTCAGTTCGCGTTTTCAGGAAACCTCACTTTCGGTTTTTAAACGTGTATATAAGATGTTTATAAACAACGGTAGTCTATTTTGCAATCTTTTAAATGATGTTTCAAAGTCAAGGCAAGCGTGTAAAAATCGCCTTATTTTGCGATCCAAAAAATTCTAAATTGTTACACTTTTTGAAAATTAATTTTCCGTATCCAGGAAAACTCCAATTTCCTTGAAATTTAGGGAATTTAAAGAGAAACTGTTGCTCTAAAAGCTGATATAAAAATTATTTTGGGGCTTTTTGTTACCGCGGAATTATACTGACTATAATATCGGGAAAATCACAAGAAAAACCTTAAGTTAAAAAATTTTAAGTTTGGTACATTTTTTGAAAATCAATTTTCCCTTTCCGGTAAAACTCCGATTTCCTTCAAATTTAGACAAATGTATGAGCAAATGTTGCTCTCAAATCTGGTGTAAAAAATATTATGGGGTGTTTTGTTATCACGAAATTATAATGTCTATAATATACAGCCGATTATGTAGACAGACACTTATAGACAGGCAGTACGTCTAGACACAGTCTGCTCAGATAGACTGTCGAAGCGTGAGGATTTATACTTGTTTTCTCTTGTTATTTGGTTTTGACAGATAAATTATAAATTATTTTAAATTATTTTGCTTGTTTATCGGGATTTTAGAGAAATAAATAGTCAATATGATTATATGAACATCATGTTGCAAAAGCTCCGTGCGCGTGACTTGCACATAATAATTAATAGACAAAAGTCAGTTATTGATAGCCTGCTTAAATCCACTACTCAAAGTCTCAATAGCTCGTAAAATCAATCCGTATTATCTACTTTTTTCAAACTGAAATATATGTGCTTAGTTTTCTCTGAAGTAGTCGCATAAATCATTGAGATTAGGGCTAGATTTTATTAAACTCGCGATGTGACTACAATGACAATGTCAATGTAATTAGTGACGTGTTTGACAGTTTGTATAAATAAACTTCCGAATACACAGAAATTATTATACAAATAATGAATGTTTATGAGTGCAATGGTAAGAATATTTTCATGAGGTGAAGGATGGAATGTTCCATTCAACGAGGCGACAGCCGAGTTGAATGGAACATTCCATCTTTCACCGAATGAAAATATTCTTACCATTGCACAAAAAACATTCATTATTTGTTTTATATAATACCAAAATAGACTAATAGATTCGTATGAGAAGCATTTTGAGGGATGCGACTTATCGAAATCACAAAGAGTGCAATTGTACTATACGTTTTATTCCATTGCACTCGCAGAGAGTGCAATGGAACGTATTCCATTGCACTCTTGGGAAATGGAATTTTCTATTCAATATCACGTGACCATAAACAGCCAATTGAACGATCAGAATTCAATAAGGTATTATATAAAAAGTAATATCAAACCTGATGTATAGAACATACGCTGAATTTACTTTGTTATATGCACAATAACTGCATGTAAGCGACTTGCTCTTTTAAGAAACCAATTTGCTAATAATCATTCTTTTTTCAAAATCATGCGGACCTTATTTATCATTTAAATAATATACCCTTAAAATACTGACAATTGATTAATTTTAAGCAGCTACATTATCCATGACAAACTGCAAAAAATGAAGATATTACCCATACTTTTCTGCAACTTATCCAACATATCAGACTTGTAAACACGATGTCATACCCTATAGGGAGTATCGTTAAGTTGAAGTTCTGAGCAATTTCAGAACTCTGTACGTCGCCGCCATGCCATTAAGTTGGGGCCATGGTCCCGCTTCCCCGGGTCCTGGAATTTAATGAAGTGTGACGTGCGTATTTTGAGCAATGTAAATTAGTCGCACTTCATGATATAACAAAATTGCTCGTTACAAATTGTATGAAATTCCATGTCTTAAACAAAAAACCAAATGTTGTTGAATGCTATTGATCGTCTTCTTTCACTACATAACTTCTGGTGCATTCCTAATTTCGTTTAAAAAATATTTAAAATTATCTAACTTTTGTTTAGGGCTGAAACACGTATTTCAATTGCTCGATCAAAATACGTTACACTTCATTGAATCCCGGGTAAGAGGGATCATATAAACAGCCTCTTATAATCAAATTTGTCATGAAAGCGAAACGCAAATTTTGTATCATCGCCTCTGATCATCGCCCATGTTTGTATATTTTAAATCCCAATGTATATTAAAATACGTATACTTTCAAACATCAAACCTCGCATCAGACTTACAGTTCTTCAGCGAAACTTTCAGTATGCATAGATTATAGCCATAGGCGAAATTCTTCAGTTTTGAGAGCAAAACTAATTGTTTTGCCGCGTTTGGAAGCTTTCAAAATGGTTGTAAAACTTTTAAAATGGATAAAAATTTACTATTTTCGACCCTCGACCTCGACGTACGACCCTCGTTATAAGCGTCAATTGCATTTAGGTAATCAGTTCCACAGTTTAGCTCCATCACAACAGAAGCTTTTCTTAAGGTCGAGAAATAAGCGAGATTTAAAAAAAGCTTTTAAATGTTTTCCACGTCATTTTAAAAGTTCTTTCAGATAAGGGAATCTAATTTCTATATTCATGCTATTTCCGATCATATCCCTCAACAGGGCCGTTCCTAGACGCGATAATGGGGGGGGGGGTATATTCATATATTCATGCTCGCTACCGTAAAAACAATCGCTTTCAAAAGAAATCCGTCGGGCAGAAGACGAATATATGAACATACACCCCCAATTATCACGCTAGGAACGGCCCTGTCCCTTTAATTAAACGACTGAACTTGCCCGGCTTCAATGAAAATAAGGCCGAAGTTTGACGCTTAAACTGGACTGCTTAGAGCACAACATGCTCAAATATAAGTAATTAACTGTTTATAGTAAGTATATATAGCCTTGAATCTAGCGAGTGTACAAGTGTTTCTAGTTTATTTTAATTGGCGCGCATGGATCGATCAATTGAAACAAGAATTTGAAGCAGAAATCTTAGTCTTGGAGAGTTTAACAGCGTATTTTTATCTAGAAATAGGCAAACTAGTTTAAAATGATCTACGTCTTATATTTCCTATCAATAACAAGAGAAAACAAGCAAGAATGATTAAGGTTCGACTGTCTATAGTTGAAGAAAAGTGCCTAATTGTCTGAGGATTTTTAAGGTTTTTTTGTGATTTTCTCGATATTATAGTCAGTATAATTCCGCGGTAACAAAAAGCCCCAAAATAATTTTTACATCAGTTTTAGAGCAACAGTTTGTCTTTAAATTCCGTAAATTTCAAGGAAATTGGAGTTTTCCCGGATACGGAAAATTAATTTTCAAAAAGTGTAACAATTTAGAATTTTTTGGATCGCAAAAAAAGACGATTTTTACACGCTTGTCTTGACATTGAAAAATCATTTCAAAAATTGCAAATTGGACCCACGTTCTTTATAAACATCTTATAAACACGTTTAAAAACGAAAGGTGAGGTTTCATCACACGCCAATTGAGAAAAACGAAATTTTCGAGAGGCCGTAGCTCACAATATTTTTTGCTAATTTCGCGAATCTCGGGTATGTGTGAGGTTTTGATAATTTTCGGCGTTTAAAATGATATTTCAGAAAACAAACCCCACCACGTTTCTGAGTACACATTAGAGTATCACTGGAAAAAATAAGAAGATTTTTTATTTTTCCTCATGTGCCACGTATTCTCGATTTTGCTCGGTTTTAGTGGACATTGTCTCTTAAGGTGGCTCCATACACTTTTCATCATTGGGGGACTGGTACCTAATCTTGAGTTTTCGCGCGAAAATGTTAAAAATATATGCAAAAATAAAAACAACTTTTACTATAGCCACAAAATAGAATATTAATGAGCTACCCAATTTAACTACTTTTGTATAGCCACAAAATAGAATATTACTGATGAGCTACCCAATTTATCCTTTTCAAAATGGCGGCTTTTCGTGAGTGAGCAAAGTGTTTCGAACAATTTCGTTAAAATTTTCAACGAATTGTACCTGTTTTCTATGAATTTTGCATTGTGTCTAACTCTGGACATTCTTGCTAGTTTAGTTAATCATTTTTCTTGGTGCACGACTCTGAAAAACCGAAATTTGGATTGTTGAATTCCCGTGCACGATCATAATATACTGAATCTGAATATAAACGAGCCAAAGACAATTTCAAGGTAAAAGGTTATAACTTAAAATAGATAACTACTTGATGAGAAGCATATTGGTGTCATATCAATATAAAATTTATCCAACAACAGTCCCTAAGACTTATAATACTTGTAGAGTTATAGTTAGCTGTAAACGTAAACTGCAGTGTGAAATATGATATTGTTTTTGTAATGCCTAATGTAATGGCGCAACGAGGATAAAAATACCACCGTTCGATTCAGTGTAAGAAATTGTACTTACGGATGTCAAATGTATTACTAAACAACAATATTCTAGTAATTTATGGCCTTTGAAAATCAAGCGAAATTGTATTATTGACTAATCGCTCGCATGCAGTACGTGTTGTTGACAATCACTTGACACTCGCCGCAGTACGTTTGTATTTGTAATGCCTAATGGCGCAACTGATAAGGATAAAAATACCACCGTTCGATTCAACGTAAGAAATTGTACTTACGGACGAGGGGCATTTCACTCCAAAAATCCCGTACACTTCGTCAAAAAATCCGGAAAAAATCCGAACAAATCCGCAAAATCCAACAGATTTTCTCTTTGAAAAATCCACTAAAAATCCGGGAAAAATCCGCTAAATCCGCTAAAAAATCCGCGGATTTTTAAAAATCCGAAAATCCCGTACACTTCGTCAAAGAATCCAGAAAAAATCCGAACAAATCCGGAAAATCCAAACAAATTCGGAAAATCCAACAGATTTTCTCTTCAAAAATCCGCTAAAAAATCCGGGAAAAATCCTCTAAAAAATCCGCGGATTTTTAAAAATCCGAAAATCCCGTACGCTTTTTTGGAGTGAAATGCCCCTCGCTTACGGATGTCAAATGTATTACTAAAACAACAGTATTCTAGCGGCGTTTGTCTTTGAAAGCCAAGCGAAATTGTATATTGTTCACAAATTGCTCAGTCAAAATTATTAAACTAATTATAAAAATAGGTACGCACTGCGTACATGTTGCATGCCATCTGAAACTTATGATCATAAATATCTTATATAAGATATCTATGCTTATGATGCGCTATAGCGCTTATAACCTTTGGTACAACTGGCGTGAAACTTAAAAGATCGACTCAATAAATTTAATATCAATATATTTATTGCAAAATAGCTATTATGTGAAAATAAGAAAACTTAAGACTCTCACGCGAATATAGACAATGTTTTTTTTTAATTAAGCGACCCTTAATAGTTAGTTGCAAGCGACGGTAATAATAACATTAAAGGGATTAAGGGACCCTACAGTCATTTTTTAGTCGAAAAGCCACCTTAAGTAGGGGACTCCACGGAAATTCGTTTGGCTGTATCTTACATGCAGTATCCATGAATATGACAACTTCCGCACACCGGAGGACACATGCATGCCGTGATGCGCATGTCAAGTAGCGACAATAACAAAAATGTAAACAATACTTACCTAACTAAAAAATGACTGTAGGGCCCCTTTAACAATGTCAAGCGGGTCAAGGTTTTATCAAAAGCGATTGACTGTTAGATTTACTTTACAAATTAATAACTAAATAACGTTTGAATATTTCCTATAGATATAGCTTTATTGTAACTTTTTAATTGGTACAAAAAACGCGTGGAAACGGTGAATTACTACAATAGATTGAAAATGATTATTTATAATTTTGACGTTTGAGTGATTGAAATGAGTTCATTTACACTATATCGAATGTCATGTTGAATCGTATGCGTACTTCACAATGGTTGCTATTTCGTTGTATATTTCAATCTCGATTTCAATTGTATTACTATTTATAATTTAAATTGTGTTTGATATTTATATTTCATGTTGTTTACAAAATATGCTGTAGTTTTGAAGCTTTGCACACAATATAATCAGTGCGAGCACAATGGCTCCGTTTCAATCTCGTTCCCCGAGCCTGCGATCATTGGGAAGGAAACGAAGGCTCTGGGATAATCCATCTCAGAAATGAATATGATTGGTTGCTGGTATACAATGGAATGTTGCAATTTTGCAAAAATTAATTTTTAACCGTATATTTTTATAGACAACATGGCGGCCGTTTAGGAGTGTACGAATATTGTTTTGGTTTTTCAGAGCTGTGCTATATACTAATACTACAAAGGAAATGCAAAGAAACGTATACTTAATGCGTATAATATCACAACAGTTAAATGGAGCGTGAAAACTTTACTCATATTTCGTGTTGTACAGGTTTTCTGTAGTTTTACTGTAATCTATACATAGTATACAGTACTGTCAGTACACTGTTCTATTTGACTATAATATCAAATATGTGCTATATTTTGCAAATACTATTTGTGTCAGAAATGGTTAATAACTTTATTAATCTGTCTTTGTGTTATCTAATTGCGAAGAACTAGCTAATAACTAGTTTCAATACATCCAATCTTGGGATTTACTGTTATATATTTTATTATTTAATGTATATACTGTACTGTAAACTTTTCAAGTGCAGGAGTATGAAATACTCATTTTAACTTGTAGCATGTAACCCTTCCCTATATGGGTACATATGAATCTTTTGCTGTTATAATTTATTTATAGAAAGGGTTCAAAAAACCTTTATTCTCTAAATAAACCACAATTTCACAGGCAGTGATATTTTAAACTTATTTTAAACTGGTTATGACCCCCTGTAGGGAACCACCTAGGGTGCAGGTATAATTTTGTGATGAATGATAAAAAATTGCCCAATATAAATGCCGAGCCATAGAAATATTTTTATTACCATGGTCATGACAACTACCCTGTCAGTTTGATTGCAATATCAAAACTTGTTATTTACACTATAAAACAACACATACCTACTCTGAGAAGGGGATGGGCAACAAAAACTCATATATTTCAGTTTTTCCCTTCCTATCCAATTCAAATCATGCTGGCCACAAAAACAATTTCCTGATTGCGATACAATAAATTGCCAAATGACTGACAATTTGGGCTAGTGACGCCCCTGAATGCTACAATGATAGCTGGCAACCTCTATTGCTATTATATCTCCAACCTTGAATGTCCTATTTAGTACAGTAGTTAATTCATTAATGGCAGTAATCAACATGAAGTCAAGTACATTTCTGGCCATTGATGAGAAATATTGTCCAGAAGCAGGGATGGATTTACTGGGGGGGGGTGCACCCCCCTAGCCCTGGCCAAAGATGTTGCAGGGGAGGTGCTATTTTTCATGATAAAGCAAAAAAGACGAAATGAGATACAGTAATTTGAGTAATAACATGATGATAAGTGAACTGTGAACAATTACAATTCAAATACAGTAGTTGATGGGCGGGCGGCACACATGACCAACACAACTCGGCACCAGAGGCACCCCCCCCCCCCTACCAGATCATGCTGGATCCATCCCTGTCCAGAAGTACAGTGAAATAACAAAATAGGGTGCACTAAAGAGCATTGTGGCTTAATGATCTAATGAGATAATTAACCAAAGATAGGTAGACATGCAGATGGACTGGTTAACCCATTTTTTTTTCCTTTTATTGCCCATATATTATAACATATAAATATTTACATTAAAAAAAAATTAGATTAATGTTATGGTAGGGGCCTACCAGCAACCTTAACAGGCTTTTATTTAAGACCCCTATTGATATAAAATTTAGATGCTAGTTCTAACTACAGACTATACAGTCAACCAAATTTAAAATATATTACAATAAGTATTATAGTTAAAAGAAAAGAAAGAGAGAAAATGTGAAAGCTATTTACAGCATAAAGTGTTACATTGTACATATAATTTGATTAATTACTTGAAATTTGAAGGAAGTGTTCTTTTATAGTATTTTTGAAAGTATTACGAGAAGTGATATTTTTAAAATGACATTCAAGTCCATTCCAAACATCGACTCCTTTATTTGAAAGAGTATGTTTTACATAGTTCGTTCTTTTGTATGACTTGTGGAGTTGTGTTTTATTTCTTGTATTGTGTTGGTGGATTTGATCATTGGTCACAAAGTAATCAGTGAATACCTCTGGTAGATTTTTGGTGTAGTGATATCGAAACATAAATAAACTTATTAAATAATCATTAATTTTATAAATATCTAGAATTTTTAAGTCTTTAAAGATTGGTTCGCTATGTGCCAAATAAGAGTTGAAAGTCACAAGGCGCACAATTTTTTTTTGAACATTCATAAGTTTTTGGATTCTTTTTTTGTAGGTATTACCCCAGATTATATTTCCATAGATAAGATATGGATAGACTAAAGCATAGTAAATAAGCTTAAGAGCATTTAAATTTGTAAAATGTCTTATTTTTGCTATTACTCCAGCAGATTTAATAACTTTTTTTGCTATTAAATCCACATGTTCATTCCATGTCAAGCATTCATCAATAACAATACCAAGGAATGTGGTATTTTTTTGCCTGTTTTAATATTTCTTTGTTTATTTCTATTGTTACATCAAAATTCTGTTTTTTGTTATAAGATCTAAATAGAATAAACTTTGTTTTTGAAGTATTTATAGATAATTTATTTATATTTAACCATTCAGCTACTTTATTAATTTCTACTTGCATAATTTCATTTAATGTTTTAAGACATTTATGCTTGTTAAAAAGGGACAAAACATCAAGATCCATATATGTATGTCAAAATTTGATATATATGTATTAAGATTCATATATATGTATCAAAAACCGTATATGTATGTCAAGATTCATATATATATGTCAAGATTCATATATATATGTCAAGATTCATATATATATGTCAAGATTCATATATGTATGTCAAGATTCATATATGTATGTCAAGATTCATATATATATGTCAAGATTCATATATCAAGATTCATGTATGCTTTAATGAAGTACTTCTTGACCGTTTAATTATACCGCTGACCAAATATTTATGTAAACATTAATAATATAGCGATTAAAGATGGCGCATTTCATAGATAATCTTAGACAGTTCTTTGAAGAGTTTTTAAGATGTATTGGGGAAGCAATTGCGGGGATGAGTTCAGAATACGAACCAAATCGTGTGGACAACCTGTTATACAGGCTATCGGAATTTGAAACCACACTTGGATTAATTTCAAGTCGTGTTGGAGAATATGACACTGATGACAGCGTTGATCAGTTGTTGGAAGACCTGGAACGGCTCTTAGCCACTGTGCGTCTTCTAAAAACCAGATATCAAGATAGGCATGTTGAATTGAACACCTCTTCCGATATCGAATCGCCACACCGCAGTTGTCCTGTTCATTATTTAGGGCACGCTTGTCGTCCACGGCTTGTTGTTGACAAAGTTGTTGTTCAGCAACTGCGTGAAGAATCCATGAAATGGGTAGACATTGCAAGAATTCTTGGAATTTCCCCCAAGACTTTGATTCGTCGACGTAGGGAATTTGAAATGCCCATTGGTGCTGATGCCTTCACATGTCTTGAAGATGGTAATTTAGACGGACATGTACGAGAAATTTTGCGAATAAATCCTGAAGCAGGTACCGTATATTTTAATATGTGTAACACAACCCCAGGGACGCCGGAAAGGGAGGGCGCATCGCCCCCCTCCCTCCCCCTTGTCCTTTAGTAAGGGGGGCAGGGTGAAAGTGCCCTTAGATAAAAATTCTAACCCAAAAAATATGAGGTACAACGATTAAAAAGTATGAATTACGGGTGAAATGGACGTCATATTGATATATACGTGAAATTTTGTGGAATATTGTGTCAAAAATTAGGTTAACTTTTAAAACTTTTTTGCCCTTGTTTTTTCCGGAATATTTTTTGCCCTAGTTTTGGTGAATTGAATTTTTATTTAAAAAATTTTTCGTAAACGAAATATTAGTTTGTGATTGGCCTTACGTCAACATTGCCCCCCCTGTGCCCTACCCTCGCTCCGGTGTCCCTGCATAATCCTATATAAAGTAGCATGAAATTAACATCCCTGTCTAATAACGCTCGATTTGCATGCTTCTCTCTAAAAGTACGAAAACGTAATACCGAGATGATTATTAGATAATTTACAATATGACGGAACTTGTTAATATAGGACACTCGATCGCTTGTGCTTTTCCTAGGACTTCGTCTAGTTGAAGGAGGGCTCAGAGCAAAGAAATTAAAGATTCAACAGAATCGTGTTCGGGAATCTATTGCACGAGTTAATCCTGTTCTCTCAGCAGTGAGAGGACACAGCTTCAAGATTGTCAGGTAGCGATACTGATAAAAACGTTGCAGAGGAGAGTGATTCTCTTCGGCAGATACGACATGGTGGTTGTGAGCGGCTATAAATTCAGAAATAGATCGGTTTAAACCTGGCAAAAAAATGAAGTGAATGCTGTACAAAAAAAAAATCTCATTTCCAAGTCCATTTTCGCGATTTTGATATTCCATGTAATCAAGAACTAAAAGGTATTTTTGAATGCAGTACTCGTCGTCAGTTGTTGTTTCGAGGATTCGTTGCAAGTCAGCATCAATTTCTTCCGTACTTTCGATAGGAGATTCTGGAACAACCACATTGTTGGAAGTTTGAAGTTCCGGTACGTTACCACTCTCGTCAATTCCATAGTCATTCATATCTGGCTGAACACCATCAAGTACATCTTCAACTGCCCTGTAACCGCTCTGACTATTGCACAGCATTCCCGTTATCCACAACTGCCTTGGCGTCGTATTGCTTTCAGTGGTAAGGCCATGATAATTCCAGACTCTAGTCAGTTCCTCTAGGGAGTTATTAACTTCTGGGAGGTACACATATTGAAGACAAAATAGATGAATTTCGTTCAGTGGATCAAACAATCCACTTGTTTCTAGGTACATGAATATGTTCTTAAACTTGCTTACCACCGTACGATTAACTTCTCTCCATAAACGTTCTATTCGTTGGTTGTGAACCGACTTACCAGTTATTGTGCTGCCTCTGTTCAAGCCTCGTTCACGCAACATGAACCGTGCTACCTCGACATTTTCCAAACCTTGGTCTGAACGAACACGAGACGGTAGGTTGTAAAGGCTGACAGCCTCTTGGAAAAGATCAAGAACAGTATTGGCCTTGTTATTTGTTGAAGCCCTTAATATATACGATAAGGCGGGAATACCCGTCAATCCCACCATGAATGACAATTCTGTACGGTTCTATCAATTTATGATCGCCATCAATATGCCGGAGGGCATTTGGGCAAGGTACAGAATACTTTCGCCTGACAATCTTGAAGCTGTGTCCTCTCACTGCTGAGAGAACAGGATTAACTCGTGCAATAGATTCCCGAACACGATTCTGTTGAATCTTTAATTTCTTTGCTCTGAGCCCTCCTTCACCTAGACGAAGTCCTAGGAAAAGCACAAGCGATCGAGTGACCTATATTGACAAGTTCCGTCATATTGTAAATTATCTAATAATCATCTCGGTATTACGTTTTCGTACTTTTAGAGAGAAGCATGCAAATCGAGCGTTATTAGACAGGGATGTTAATTTCATGCTACTTTATATAGGATTATGCAGGGACACCGGAGCGAGGATAGGGCACAGGGGGGCAATGTTGACGTAAGGCCAATCACAAACTAATATTTCGTTTACGAAAAATTTTTTAAATAAAAATTTAATTCACCAAAACTAGGGCAAAAAATATTCCGGAAAAAACAAGGGCAAAAAAGTTTTAAAAGTTAACCTAATTTTTGACACAATATTCCACAAAATTTCACGTATATATCAATATGACGTCCATTTCACCCGTAATTCATACTTTTTAATCGTTGTACCTCATATTTTTTTGGTTAGAATTTTTATCTAAGGACACTTTCGCCCTGCCCCCCTTACTAAAGGACAAGGGGGGGGGGAGGGGGGCGATGCGCCCTCCCTTTCCGGCGTCCCTGGGGTTGTGTTACACATATTAAAATATACGGTACCTGCTTCAGGATTTATTCGCAAAATTTCTCGTACATGTCCGTCTAAATTACCATCTTCAAGACATGTGAAGGCATCAGCACCAATGGGCATTTCAAATTCCCTACGTCGACGAATCAAAGTCTTGGGGGAAATTCCAAGAATTCTTGCAATGTCTACCCATTTCATGGATTCTTCACGCAGTTGCTGAACAACAACTTTGTCAACAACAAGCCGTGGACGACAAGCGTGCCCTAAATAATGAACAGGACAACTGCGGTGTGGCGATTCGATATCGGAAGAGGTGTTCAATTCAACATGCCTATCTTGATATCTGGTTTTTAGAAGACGCACAGTGGCTAAGAGCCGTTCTAGGTCTTCCAACAACTGATCAACGCTGTCATCAGTGTCATATTCTCCAACACGACTTGAAATTAATCCAAGTGTGGTTTCAAATTCCGATAGCCTGTATAACAGGCTGTCCACACGATTTGGTTCGTATTCTGAACTCATCCCCGCAATTGCTTCCCCAATACATCTTAAAAACTCTTCAAAGAACTGTCTAAGATTATCTATGAAATGCGCCATCTTTAATCGCTATATTATTAATGTTTACATAAATATTTGGTCAGCGGTATAATTAAACGGTCAAGAAGTACTTCATTAAAGCATACATGAATCTTGATATATGAATCTTGACATATATATATGAATCTTGACATACATATATGAATCTTGACATACATATATGAATCTTGACATATATATATGAATCTTGACATATATATATGAATCTTGACATATATATATGAATCTTGACATACATATACGGTTTTTGATACATATATATGAATCTTAATACATATATATCAAATTTTGACATACATATATGGATCTTGATGTTTTGTCCCTTTTTAACAAGCATAGACATTTGTTACTATGAGATATCGTTGTGTCATCCGCAAATAATATAAATGAAACTATTTTACTGCAATGCTGTATATCGTTTATATACAAAAGGAACAACAGTGGTCCCAGAATGGAACCCTGGGGGACTCCACTTGTGATTGTCATTTCTTTTGATCTTACCTGATTGTATTTTACAATTTGTTTTCTATTTGTTAAATAATCTTGAAACCATTGTTGAGATATTCCTCTTATGCCATAATATTCTAATTTTTTAATCAGAATCCTGTGATTAATTGTGTCAAAAGCCTTGGACAAATCTAAAAATATACCAATAGTGTATTCTCCTTTATCTATTGCTCTAGTAATTTTATCTAAAAGTTCAATAATTGAAAAATCTGTTGATCTGTTTTGTCTAAACCCATATTGATGTTTTGATAATATCTTGTTTTTTTCTATGAAGTTGATTAATCTTTTGTACACGAGTTTTTCTAATAATTTTGAAAAACATGAAAGAACAGATATAGGTCTGTAATTGTTAAATTTATTTTTTTCATTAGCTTTAAAAATAGGTGTAACTAGTGCTATCTTTAGCTTATCAGGGATAATACCACTTAGGAAAGTCAAATTAAATATATGAGCAAGAGGCTCAGAAATATTGCTGGCAGTTAATTTTAAGAATTTCGAACTAATATTATCATATCCAGGACTTTTATTTTGATTCATATTAGATATTTCTAATTCTATTTCATTTTTGGTAATTGCTTCAAGAAACATGCTGTCTTTGTACAAATTACTAGTGAGATAGTGCTCAAATGTTTTTTGACCATCATTTTCGGTAATCTTTTTGGCCAGTTCTGGTCCAACATTCACAAAATATTCATTGAATTTGTTGGCTATATTAAGAGGATCTTTAATTAACTCAGAGGGGTTATTCCCAACAAATTCTTCTGGTAGTTCTTTTTTTACTTTATTTCTATTCATGATTTCATTTAATGTTTTCCATGTCATTCGAGCATCATATTTATATTTTACTAGCTGTTCTTCATAATATATTTTTTTGGCCATTTTTATTATATGATTTAGTTTATTTTTATACTTTTTATATTTAGTTTTGTTTTTTTCACTTGGGTTTCGTAAGAACGTTTTATACAGCTTATTTTTCCTCATCACTGATTTTATAATGCATCTGGTCATCCATGGACTTTTGCCTTGATCAATATTATTTTTAAGATGTTTTGGTCTTAATGGGAAGTTAGTTTCATAGGTTGTTGTGAATATTTTAGAAAATTCATTAAAAGATTTTGTCGGATTTTCTTGAATAAATACATTCAAATACCAAGTCCAATACTTTCCCTTAACAAGAAAAAATTCTGGCGTAAAACAGTTTAAAATAACAAGGTAGGGCAAACTGAGGCACATTGCAGCTTAACTTGCTCCAACTCTATCATTACAAACTGTAAATCTTTAATAGTACTTCCTATCCAGACACAAAATTTGGTTACAATTCAATAATTTGAAAAGTGCATCCCTAACCTACTAAACTGCTTGCAAATATTAAAACATATAAGGAAAGCTATAAGGGCAGTTAAAAAATATAACAAGGATTTGGTTTATAAACTGTTAATTTCTAGAGATGATCACACAATACAAACATGGAATTCACTATATTCATATTTTTAATGATATGTTTTATAAGTCTAAATTTCTTTTAATATTCCTCTGATATACAAATCTTCTGAAAACTTTAATATTATCAAGGTTTATAACCGACTTAATATTAGAATTGAGACTCTCTTCAGGTATTTTAATATAATTACAGTAGCTGAGTAGCAATTAACACACAGTACATTGTAATTGTTTTTGTTCTTGAAAATTGCCCTTTCCACGCGCTCTTTCAACCATTAGAAACATAATAGCGTTAAACGGCTAAATTATGCTGGTGAAACCACAAATGTCTCTACATTTAAAGCTTTTTCAAACTGACACAGAGGCCGGAATGGACAAGATTACAATTAATTGTGACATTTTTCTTCGACAACAGCACTCTTCGCGGCACCTGGCGGCTCTATACTGACCCTGTTTCACACGCAATATTTTCCTTATTCAGTCACTAACACACCTTTTGTATCCCACTATGAAGAACATCAACATTTCCACCAAAACCCAGAAAAATCATCATTTTATAGACGAAACAATAAAATATTTCAAACAATTTGTTTTGCTTTTGGCAACGCATGCGCAGTTCGGTCGACATACAGTTTTCTGTATGTCTGAGATGGATTATCCCAGAGCCTTCGTTTCCTTCCCAAGGATCGCAGGCTCGGGGAACGAGATTGGCTCCGTTTCAGTTCGAGTATATAAAAATCGAGTATTTTGATAGACTTGATAGCGTTCGCGGCTTTGAGGCTTTCACGATATATAAATATAAACGCGTGATAGTTGATAAATAATCAGTGCGAGCACAACGGCTCCAAAATCACAACAAATAACAAAATATAAGGTAAGTTAAAACAGTAAAGCTTTACCTACCTCGATTTATTTTTCTAAGGCGCTCGATTATGTAAATTTTCGGCGAATAATCAATATATAAATTTTCTTTGCGTTTCCTTGACGAAAACCCGGCATGAAAATGCTCGTCGGAAACTCGGTATTTGTCGTATTTTACGAATCTGCCACGTGACTGGTACGCTCACCGATCACCGCTCACCGAACACGACACGAAATTTAGAGCTATATGAAAGTTGCATGCCATATATGGCATGCAGCAAAAATGCAGTACGTTGATCCTTGATAACTGTGGTATCGTTGGTTTTTCCTTTTTCGGCCGTACACCAGTGGATTCATCTCACCTCTCTTCATTTTGATAGTGTTTTGAGCCCAAAAGCCCAAAAATATTTTATTTTGAACGTTTTTAAGGGCAGTTTAATCCTAGCCGGCGGAAACGCCGGAAGTTTTATTTGTAGACCGCATGTAATAGTACTGTGTCTGATTGTATAAGTCCTGAACTGGGTCATTATACTAACAGAAACTTTAAAACTGAGCCACCTACCTGCAATACAAACCTAGCCAATTTGAGAGCGGCAGCACTCTCTGTCTCTCTCCTTGACAAGCAAAATCGACGGGTATGAACATTAAACTAATAAAGTAGGGTGCATGTTATTTATTGATTGCCATTGGGGCACAATGCAAATCAGTGGGATAATAAATAACATGGTATTCACCTAAATAAACAGAACACTGTTATATCTTGATATAATTAAAAAAAGAGTGAACAAAACTGTAACTGAAAAGTTTAATCTTCACTAGCCTTTCGCGCTTTTCCGCTTAGCTTGGATACAACTATGTGTTTTGCATGTATGTATCATATACGATAATGTGCGTATTTGTATAGCCCCAGCGAGTTAACGCTCTATGGAGCGTCTTGTTTAGTCTAAAATCCAAACCACAAGTCATGTTTATTTTGATGTTTTGAGTCTTCCTTGTTCTCATTTATTCTCAAAGAACAAACTTCGTCCTGATTCAGCTCTGAACATTGAATAACTAGTCTTTTTAGAAGATATTTTAAGGTAAAAAATGCAATGTTCAACGTTCAAACTCTTGTGAAAACCGGCGATCGGCCCGACCGGCGAAAAGTTTTTTACTCCAATATTTGGCGATTTATAAGTTCATATCCAGAGTTGTTTTGTAGTTACAACTGGTAAATGTATTCAAAGTGTTACTAACAGCAAAGGAATTCAGTGAAACAGCATCATGCGCCGGCTCAAACTGTTTTAAATTGTCAACAACAACATGAAAACACACAAGTTTATACGACTGAAAACGAATATAAAACTATATAGAAAAGCCAAAACGTTCATACATGTCACACATATCTTATACCAAACGACCTACAATCACCTGTTTTCTTGGCGTTATCCTGACTTAGCATGCAAAACTAAATATATTTGCATTTCTAAGCGGCAAGAGAACACAAAAAATATTTGATATTTCGACGAGACTAAAAACTTTTTTGTGCGTGTTTTTCTGGAGATGCGCCTGCGAAAGCATGTACGCGCATGTCAATTCATTCAGAGGCGCCGGAGAATCGATAATAGCGGGGGCAGATATTCATATATTCGTGTTCACAGACTGTAAAAACAATCGATTTCAAAAGAAATTAATTGGGCAGAACACTACGAATATATGAATATCTGCCCCCAATTATCGATTCTCCGGCGCCTCTGAATTCATTGATCCTGCAGAGTGTGAAAAACTTTGGCCGCGCGAAATAAAACCGTGATTATTTCCAAAACGAGTTCGGTAAGGTACCCTGAAAATTTGTACATGAGTAGATACATACTTCAAGATTTCATGATGGAAAAATAAAAAAAATTGTCGACAGAAACTGTCAAAAAAGTCGAAATTTAATTCTAAAGAATTGAGTCGACAGATTTTTTTTTAAACTTCCCAGAAATGTTTCTCGACACTAACGTAACTGATTTATTAAAAAAAATTGGGGTCACCGAACTCATTTTTGAAAAAAACTCGAAAAACTGCGATATTTTCGGCTATTTAGTGTTACCATTATTCGTTATAGTTGTCATGGAAACACGACTTTTATCAGACGTTACAATTATAAGTGTTACAATTATAAGTAAAACTTAACCCTGTAAAAGCATTTAAACAGAAAATATTCAACTTTTGCTCCAACTCAGCCATGTTACATGTACTTAATTTCTAGGCATAGTACTAGTCTTGCTTCTGACTACAGGCGGCCCAATTAATCTCGCAAGGGTCACTTTTGACTTATAGTAATGTATATTATAGTAAAAATTTGTCATAAAATATAAATTTTAAAATGAAACGGACAAAAAAGGCTTTTGGAGCAGGCGGGCGGTGAACGCAAATCAGAGACTTTCATTCACATGGCCTTTTATATAGATACTTTTAATGATATATCTTAATTAAGCATATTTTAGACACTCTACTTTTCATGTAATTACATATCTATTTTTGTCTTGTAATGCGCAGTATAAATTTGAGTAATAATAATAATAACATGTATTTGATACTCCGTTTCAATGGATAAACAGATGTGAGGCCAAGCTTTCTTCGCACTAGAATTGAAGTTTCGACGCACGTTCTCGGTATAGCACTACTTCCAGGAGTTTCAGCCGTACCTTGTTCTATTATCGTACGCTATTCGTATATAAGGCAAGTCATGTGGAGGAGGTGGTTAAAAAAATCTAGTCTGTGGTTAAATTGATTCAGAAGGATATTTTATTAAGGAAAAACCTGAAGCGTAGCTATTTTTGAGAAGGTGTTATAGAAGGACGGTGTGCTATAAAAATTTTAAAAACTCAACAATTCAGGAGGAAAACACAAAGAAAAATCATAAGCGTGTCGTATCTTTATATGTGATAAAAAATCATGTTAATTTACATAAACTTTAGCTTTGATTTTCACGGTTTAGACAAAGTTTATTTTAAAAATTACTTCGCCAGTGAACTCATATAACATGAGTCCTTTTGTAAGCCATTTAAAGCACTTGTAGTCGTATTTTATCAGATATAAAAACGTTTTATATCTGATAAAACACTCCTACGCGTGCTTTAAATAGTACATAGAAACACATAGGTAACTTACGTTTTTAGTGCTTTATTAATCACATTTTGTCTTTTATCATCTGGATAGTCTGACGTTAGACAGAGTAAAGTCTGGCGTTAGACAGAGTAAAATAATAAAGTAGGGCGCATTGTCAATTAAAGGGTTAACAGGAGGCACGGACAGATAGTCTGATTAACCCATTGAATGGCAGCACTCACCCCTGAAGAGTAAAATCGTTTGGTGTTAGACAGAGTAAAATAATCTGGCGTTAGACAGAGTAAAATAATAAAGTAGAGAGCATCTGAGCGCATTGCCACTTAAAGGGTTAATAGGTGCATGGACCGATAGTCTGATTAACCCATTGCCCATTGAGTGGCAGCACTCTCCCCCCTGAAGAGTAAATTCGACTGGGGTTAGACAGAGTGAAATAATAAAGTAGGGAGGATCTGGGCGCATTGCCACTTAAAGGGTTAATTAAGAACTTACATCCTGTTATGAAATTGTTGCATGTTGAGTTTATTTTTTGACAAAATCGAATAATGAATTGATAAAATACAGACCATTAGTATTGCGACTCTTGGCTCAATAGTGTGTCCCTTAGGCCTTAGTTACTAGTTTACAATGGAACCAGTGGCGTAACACTCATTGGGTAGGGTCAGTTTAAAAACTAAGGGCCCCCGACAGTTAGGGGCCTCATCAGCCACGGCCTATATTGCCGAGAAAATTCGAAAACGTAAAAAATGCAGGTTAAGAAGAGTCAATGGGAAAATGCAAAATAATAAAGCCTCCATCGACAACGGAAGCTGACTTTTTTATCCTATCTCAAATAAAACAAGACTTATTCTCATTAGTTGTTACATGAGTTGGAGATTGTTATTGTTATTGTTATAGACACGGAATTTCCCAGAACATTCAATATAAATATAATATAAATATAAATATTCAATATAAATATAATATCTCAGTCAAACAATGACAACAGTATACAAGGCCCCCCACACCAAATATGCCTAAACTCTAAAAGGTCCAGACACACGCGTCGCGTTGTCGAATCGCGTGTTTGGACCTTAAGGGCTCCCTCTTTCTCCGTTACGCCACTGAATGGAACAATGTTATAGTTTTAGGGTTATTTAACGAATGTGTGTTCACTGTCATGTTTGCAGGGTCAAATAGTCCAACCTACTTTGCAGCCATTTTAAACGACCAAAAGTTTCTTTATTCAATCCACAACATATTTCAGCCATTCTATGGCCTATGGTATGCGTACACTTGCTAATTTTAACTTTTAATTGGTTATTTTAACTTATTTGCACTGAAGGTGCACCAAAGGCAAATTTTCATCCTCATTTTCATTTGTTGTCATTGAAATTAATTATTAAATAAATAAATGACTTTCAAAGTAATAGTGTATATGACATACAATTTCTTAATTTCTTGAATGAAAGAACTATTTAAGCTGTAGTGTAACTTTTTTTCAGTTTCTTGTTTTTTATGGTTTGTTCCCGAGATATTTCAATTTGTTTGATATGTAAATTAGGGTGAATATGTCCGCTGATGCCAACCAACGTGACGTCATAAATTAGCGGACATATTAACACTCATTTACATATCAAACAAATTGAAATATCTCGGGGAACAAACGATAAAAACAAGAAACTGAAAAATAAGTTACACTACAGCTCAAAGAGTTCTTTCAGTTAAGAATATAAGAAATTTCGTGTCATGTACACTTTAAGACACTAATCCTAAGTTAGATTAGTGTCTTAAAGCTCAATGCCAGAAAATCCTGTTTTGACTGCCACATGAAGCACCTTCTTCACACTATTCAAATTGTGATTTCTGAACAATAAAAAAATTTCGATGTCAATGTATACAAAGGTTCACACATTCAGCGAAAACTTTTCTGCGAGGCTGCGATATTCACCATCCAACAAGACTACCACATATTGCGAAAAATTGCCTTACTCTACGAAAATGATGTTTGGTTTCTTGTACGGTAAGTCCTTGCCAATGGTTTGCGTAAAGAAAAGTGAAGCATTCTTTGTATCTTTGCATGGCGATGAGACAATGTTTGTTTTGGGTTGTAGAAAACAACTTTTTTGTTGTAAAGCTTCTATGTGTCACTGATGAACATTCGGGCTAGCGGTTCGAAAGCCTCCGATAATTAGTATACGTGGTGTTTGTCACAATGTCTGTAGTCAGTTAATATATGTAGTCAGTTAATTCTTATAAATACTGTGTATTTTATAGGTGAATGTCGAACAAAGATCGATGCTGTAATATATCTGGCAAATGGCGACCTTTACTTCATACGTAAAGACTTGGTTTGGAAATATGACAGCACCGCTGACTATGTCTACACTGGCTTTCCAAAAAAAATCAACGATGAATTTCCATCAATTTCCGGACCAAAAATACCATCAGATCTTGACTGTGCTTCACGTTATGTAAACGAGCAGAACTCCATAGACTTCTTCTTTGTCAAAGGTGATCAAGTGTACATCTACGACGTAATAGGAAAGAAAATTACGGTTAAAACCACCGCAGGATTTTGGCCTTCACGTGGAAAAGTACCTGGAATACCCAAAGAGGTTCCTGTAGCTGTATCTATCACGAAATTTCCAGTAGGTACGTGGATTTTTAAAGGTGATTATGCTTGGAAATATGATGATTATCCAAAAAGAGAAATCCGATCTGGATTTCCCAAAAACATCACAACGTCACAGTGGAATGGACTTCCCAAGGATGTCGACGATGGATTCTTTGATCAAAACAATTATATGTTTTACTTCTTTAAAGACACACAATACTATGAAAGTACATTTGTTGCAGCACTTCGTCCCAAGACCAAGCCTTACGTTCTTCCGCGTGGTTATATTCATCAAAAATGGAAAGGGATTTGTTCTGATAAATATTAAGTATGTAGATAAGATAAGATAAGATAAGATTTAATTATGCCTCCCTGGGCAACTCATGCATCTAAGAAAATTACAGAAATATAAATCTTACAGTAATATATATTACAATTATTAAAAATTAGAAACAAGAAATATGTCTTCGCATAGCAACCTCTGGATGCAATTTAAGATAAGTAACATGGTCATTCTTATCCGGAATTCTGTTAAAGATTTCTAGCGATAAATACCAATATCCGTGACGAGAATCCGGGTTATAACTTTTTAGATCATCAAGTCCTGCCTTAAAGGCGTTTACACTAGGTGCATACTTAACAGAGTTTGGTAAATTGTTCCAATACTTAATTACTCTTACGCTAAAACAATCCAACGCAAATCTGGTCCTACAGGATGATACATTGCATAAATTACGAGTACTATAATGCAAATTATGGTTAAACATTTGATGGCCATAGTTAACATGTCCGTTAATAATCTTGTATGCTTCAATAAGATCACCCCGCATTCTACGTTCGAGAAGTGTTGTCAGTCCCAGCTTTTGAAGTCTCTCACTATAGCTGAGAAAACCCATACCATGAATTATTCTAGTAAAATCCCTTTGACATTTTTCAATTGCCATAATTATACTCCAATTACCATGCTTTGCTACCGGGGACCAAACTTGCACACAATACTCCAGATGGGGCCTCACAAAGGCCTTGTAAAGAGGAACCAACACTTCATGTTTACGAGATACAACATTTCTCTTGGCCTTTCCGATTCCTTCTCGAATATGATCATCAAATAAGGACTTCCCGGCAGACCAGGTTACCCCCAAATCCTTTTCTTTCTGTACACTTTTTAGTTGAATACCATCCAATGTATAGCCATGTTGCGGATTGCTCTCTCCGATGTGAAGTACACCACACTTTTCCACATTAAATTTCATCTGCCATATTTCTGACCACCTACTGAGACAATCAATGTCTGTTTGAATATCTTCCGGATAATATGCATTACCAATAACTTTGGAATCATCAGCGAAAAGCACAGTATTAAATTTAGTAACTTGTGGCATGTCATTAATAAATAATATAAATAACAAGGGTCCCAAAACAGACCCTTGGGGGACTCCAGAAGTAACAGGCTCCCATGATGAAATATGATCTCCCACACGTACTGCCATTGATCTACCTGTCAGGAAGTTCCTTATAATGTCATGAACCTGCCCAGTAATTCCGTAACTTTCTAACTTTAACAACAATCTTTCGTGTGCAACCTTATCAAAAGCTTTTTGAAAATCCAAATATATAAATTATAAAACAACTAGAAATAAAGTAAATATAGAATTAAGGAATGCCAAGAAAGATTACTATTCCTCGAAAATAGCTGGTCAAAAATTCGATCCTAAAAGAGCTTGGAAAAGTATTAACAACTTATTAGGTAGGCAAAACAAACCAACAGTGGTAAATGAACTAATTTTAGATCAAAACAATTTAACAAGTCCCAAAGATATTGCGGAGGGATTTAAGAGGCTGTCTCACTAAAAACCGACCACTGATTTTCGCTTTAAAAGTCGATTTTCCTTATATTCTGTGGATAGATAGACATTCCCATGGTAATCACAAAAATCGATTTTGTTTTGTTGAGAAATGTATTTACGATATCTTTTCGAGCATTCAAATGTCACTGCCGTGCCGAGTAATTAATGAGCTTTGACAAGCTCAAAATACGTCAAACTTTAAGGCTGTGTAAAAAAGTCATTGCTTCACCAAATTCAATAATTTTTTGTGATATGAAAAACATTTTACTGTTTCTTTGACAAAAATATTGCAATGAAATAGTAACTTCCCGCGTGTTGAACGGATAAAACGCTACCCTATGTATAACGACGTATTCGAAATCCTAAAAATTGCCTAACTTTGAAGGCTGATTTCTAAAATGTGGCACCTAGTTGGGGCTTTTTATTTATATCGTCAGAAAGTTCGAATTTTGGACTTCAACAAACAAGAATAAAATTTGTAAGCGAACCAAATTTGCGAAAGTTACAGCTCATCAAACTTTGCCTGTAATGGTTAAAATTGTTGGTCAAAGAGATTCCACGCTATATCACAACTCTCGCAGTTGGTGTAATTTAACTTCTACGTATTGGACTTACCGGGATCTTAGATGATGGATTAGTGTTTCGTAGCATCATTTCATGCCCCATTAGCTTTTTTAGAAGGTACTCTTCCTACTAAGCATGAACGATTCTCGGATTTGTGTGTTCGTCGAGGAATAATTTTCGAACCTTGTTGCCAATTTACACTTGCACATTCTTCTGATGGTTGGTTGGTATACGAAATTCACTTAAAAGAACCCTTCAACACTCTCAAAAACTCGCAAGAGCTGCGAAAATCCCTATTTCTTACAAAATGTATGAAAATGTACAACATTGTATCCTGCTGTTGCTGCTATATCGTATTGTTTACAATGGTTGATTAGGTCCCAGTCCAACGCTTCGAAGAAGGGGGAGTAGCTCTGGGACTGGGGGAGTTTTGGGGGAGTAGGGTTTCAAGAAAATTAAAAAAGGAATGTGGGAAATTCAAGGTGTGATTCAATATTATTAGGACGGTACGCAGGATTTTTTACCATGGGGGCAGTCACACGTAACGTACGAACTCCTCCCCCCAGGCGGACAAAAAATTTACCCCTCGGAAATTTTTACTTCACTCTTTCCTAATCTCGACCACATTTACGTACGACCTCCCCTCCCTCCCCCCCGTCCGACGAAAAATTTACCCCTCGGAAATAATAATTGGTAATCACATTCTAATAATAGTGATTGTTATTATATTGTTGATTGTACCATAGGATATATTAGAAGTCTGATTGTTCCAATTAGTCAAACTAGATATTGATATTACGTCCAGCACAACCATTCATAATTCTGTCCGATATATATATATATATATATATATATATATATATATATATATATATATATATAATTATACAATCAATAATAATAATAATAATAATAACACTCTTATCTGTATTAATATACTTAATATCATGGTCACCATCATTATTATATTTATCTCTTATTTAAATTAAATTAAACATCACATATTTAGCCGTTGTTGTTCTAAAGGTAAGCACAGTTATATTATTTATTTATTATTAATAATTTATCATTAATAATTTATTATTATTATTAATAATATTATTCTTATTCTTATCCTTACTATACATCCTTGAGTTAACGAATCAGCTCTGCCTTTTTTGTGTGCATCTCAGCGTAAGTGGACATCACAAATGCCATATAATGTTGCATTTAGCAGGATGGTTGAGCCCAGTTTCTTCATCACTTGACTTCAAAACTCGGCAAGTTGGTTGCGTTGTTCCGCTGTTAATTGAGAAAAGAAACTCTTTATAGCTGTGTTTGAGAGTTAATAAAACACTTGTGTTAGATAAACACAAAGTAGTAGAAATAAAAAGTAATAAAAAGATGATAAATAAAATTATGATAATGGTGATAATGATAAAGATGGTGATGAATATAAAGATAAATAAAAACACTAGGAAATACTCGCTTACCTCGCTACATTCACATTCTGAAACCACGTTTTTAAGTTTACTGATCAGCTCTGCCTTCTTGTTTTTTGATTTATAAGGTATTTCTAGTTGTGTCAGGATTCGTTTGAGCATTGGAACGTTGAAAGTGGACAACTTGTCTTGGTGATAATAATCACAAATGTCATACATGTCATACGTTATGGGGTGCTTCAGCCCGATTTCATCATCAATCTCATTCACCAAACCGCGTCTTTCCGTGTCCTCTAACAAACATTCAACATCTTCTTCGTTGTCACTTAAAAACCCGGCCAGTAACCCATGCTGCTTGCGTTGTTTTGCTGCAAGTCGAGAAAAGAAACCCTTGATTTGTGTTTTTGTCAACCATTCGTTTCGACTGAACTGACGATCGTCGGATGTGTTTCTAGAGTTCCTCATGTCTTTTTCAACTTGCTCAGGATCTGCCTTCCGTCCGGTCTTTTCACCAAGTAGAAAAATTCTTGTTAAATATTCTTTGATTTTAGGAGAGAAACGCTTGGAACCAGACGTTGGCTTGTTAATCGCCCAACCCATTTGTAGATTTCGTTTTGATTTTTCCGCAGAGGTTGAAACTAAGGCATCCTCGGTAGTAGCTTCTGGAACCACGTCAACACTTGCAAACTTCAACACCCAATCTCGTTTAATCTTATTGTATATGCTCTCTTGTTTCGTGGTTGTATGCTCATCAACATTAAGGTGTAGCTCTAGATCCGAGAATTCACGAAACACTTTTGAACATCCAGGAAAAAAGCATTCAAAGAGATGTACTTGTTCATCTTGACCAGTTATTTCTGTACTTGGTAGTGCACTTTCTTTTCGGTCCCAACACTTCGCCTTTTGTGGAGGGACGAAGAAACCTTCACCTTCTTCTTGGGTAATAAGTGTTGTTGGCCCTTGGTGTTGTTGATAGACTTTGTCATAACCAATCAGCTTTCCGTTTCCAATGCCATATGCCTTCGAAACCTTTATGCCATCATCTTTAAACTGAAAGTTATGAAAGCTTGCAAATCCGTCCAAATTATTTATAACCAGGTCTTTTTTTGAATCATCAACATTATTTACAGAAGCTGATGTTCCTCTTACTGGATGTTGCTGAAGCGATTTCCTCATATCAGATGCAGTAAGAATGTCGTGACCTTCATTTGCATATGTGCGAATGGAATTCTTCATTGGACAGATGATACGGTCGCACACATCCTTGCCACTTTGGGGTTCAGAATAATCGTAGCTCATGACTTTGATTCCAACTCTGTCTGCGATATCTTTCACTGCGGCAATTAAACAGTTGTTGTGATAGCAACCGGCCTCGTCTGATCGCAGGTAAGCCTTCTCAAACTGGGGATCTTGCTGTTTGAGATGCAGAAGGAGATGCTCGATTATGGATGCAACTGCATACCAGTCTTGTGTACACTGGTCAAATATATGAGTATACGAGCTAACACTGATCTTGCCAGATACTTTATCGCGCGAGACGACACTGGTGACATGCCAACTAAGACCTCTTTTACCGTACCAGTCAGTTTGTTTCTCGCGGTATCGAAGCTGTAAGAACTTCATAGCCCAATCCATCACAAGTAACTTCGAGCTACTGTCCAACTGATTTAAAACATCTTGCTTTGCTCGTTCTTGGTTCGCAGATCTCATAATATGATTCTTCCATTGGTTGATGGCTTTTTCAGCTTTCTTGAAATCGTAAAGAAAGTCTCCTCTTTGCTCATCGCTGTACATTTTGACGTGCTTGTCTTCAATAGCTTCTTCTATGTTGATAAGACATACCTTGATACCTTCACACTGGCTACAGGTACTTGTGTGGTCATGCGTACACCTCTCTTGAAGTTCTGAGTTGTCTGGGTCACTGAGAGAAAATTTACGGCAGTGGTCTGCACAGGAACTTTCACTTTGTTGACAATGACTGCGATATCCTGTCTTCAAATATCGCTTTCCCTCCTGGATGGTTTTTCTTATCGCTTCGCACCATTTCTTGTCTTTACCCAGCTGTTGAAGCTCTTCGACTATTTTAATCATTTGCTCGAAACCTGATGATCCATCAGCTGCAGTGTTGTCAATTCCGCTTAAGGACTTTTGTTGGGAGGCTTCCCTGACTTGGAGAATACGGAATAACGTTGCACGGCTTAGGGACGTCACGTTTTCTTCTTTACAAAACTGGAGATACTGTTTTACCATGGTCGAACGTGTGACAGTTCGAATCACATTTGGCATAGAAAGCTTCTCGCCGCTATCAAGTTGGATTTTTCTGGTTCCATATGCAACGTCCTGATAGAAATAGGGTCTATTTATGAAATCCACAAAGTGATCAACCAATACCTTGTCCAACCGCACGCGAAACGATGGAGACTTTTCAACAGTCCAGCCAGGTCCAGCATTTTGAGCATGTGCTCTTGCTCTCTTTACTTGCCAAGTCGTCAGATGTTCATAAGCCTCATGCAGCTTTTGAAGCTTCTTAACTGAGAAGCGGTAAGCATAAATACTAAGAATTTGGGTCTTAAGGTTTTTGGTAGGTGCATTCTTGTATGCTTGCATAAGGGATACTAGATCTTCAGAGATACTCTCGTGCTCAGGAATCTGAGAGCATGATTCTAAGAGACTCTCCCCGGCATTTGGAGCGATAATGTTACACACAACACCACAGCCTTCTATTGCGCGGTCAATGCATGTTTGCTTATCACTCTCTGTGGCTTCATCCCAGGTAGATTTCAGCTGAAATGTTAATGGATTAATGTTTCCAACTTTGGTCTTTGCTGATAAATTAGCAATAGCTTCATTATACATGGGAACCACTGCATCCAAACTCTCCGCCCCTTCTTCCTGAGAACTTCCACTGCTTGGTCTCAACCATTGCCCAGGTGTCCACATATCATTGTCATCTGTTGCAACCGCTTGAGTTACACTTGGAGTAGGCGGTATAGTTGGTTGTAAATTGAGTGCACCGAATCTCTTAGCAAGTCTACAGGGAAGGGTAAATGAAACAATCAAATGAAGAAAGACAGCGCTTTTTACACATACAAAAACACAAATTAAATATTTTGTTATTATTTATTGTAAACATAAAAGTAATTATAAAAGTTGGATAAAAGACCAAAAGAAGAATTGAAAAAAGAGAAAGAGATCGCGATCGTCTTTGGTATTTCCCGTAATAATTTACAGTGCGCGCTTTTTTTTTAAATATATTTATCCACTAGTCTTTATCTACTGTAGCTCCTTTATTCTTGTATTCTTTATTGGATGTTTAGTTTTGTTTCTTCTGTTTTGTTCTTCTGTAAATCAGTAATGAGTCTCAAAATTAGGCCCGTAGCTGGCTTACAGCTTTTTTGGGGGGGGAGGGAGGGGGCACAGTGTAATCTCGCGTGACGTCCCCCACCCCCATCGGGCGAAAAATATAACCCTCGGAAATTTTTACTTCACTCCTTCCTAATCTCGAGTGACATCCCCCCCCCCCGTCGGGCGAAAAATATACCCGTCGGAAATTTTTAGTTATTTGCTTTGTAATCTCGCGTCTGACCTCCCCACTTGGCGCAATAATTTTTACGTCTCCTGAAAATTTTCTTCCCTACAACGCCCTTGTATACCTTTATTTCTAGAAATAATTAATTTTAGGGTGCCTACGTACCCCCTAGTTGAGAGCTAGGGGGGGGGCAGGCTAAGGGGGAGGGGGGGAAGTGCTACCGGCCTGCTCAAAATAAATAATTGCGCTTCCTGTTTACCTTGATTCTTCATCCAAATCGTCTATCATCCAAGCTTTGTTTTCTTCTACTTTTTGCTTATGTTTTTTTGAACAAGAGGAACAAATTGCTAGGGGTCAATTGAAACAAAAAATATATTATTTCATGAAATGTGACGAAGGACAAAGAAATATCGAATAGATTAAATAAAATATCTTAGGATAAAAATATAAATTTCTTAAATATTTCTTGAGATTTCGTACCTGATCCAATTGGGACTGTGATCCCAAAAATTAGGTGGATAGCCTTTGATGTCTCAAGATTGATCACATTTCTGTTTTTTGGCGGTACCCTTTTGCCCGTATGAAGGGGATGTTGACAAGTCCGTAGTGGCCGCCAGTTCCGACCCAAGTTATGTCGATGTTTTGGGCATATTAATAGCTTTTCCTTCTGCTGCAGTGAAAGATCATAAAATCCAGCTCTGTAGAGAATGAGCTCATACTCATCAATGTTTCCAACAAGTTTGGAAAGATGCGTTGTTCGTAAATGTTCCGATATGTCCGCCTTACAGTCAGTTAATCTGAGCAAACCTTTTTCTGTTCCCCGAAAATCCCCACAGCCGGTTTTTAGCTTTTCTGAAAATGAGCAAGTCTCCATTTCATTCTTCTGAGAATTGAGATGTATAATGGCGCGTTACCCTCCCCTCCCCAGACAGGTTTGACTTGAGCGTTGGACTGGGACCTAATCAACTATTGTAAACAATACGATAGCCGATAGGAGCAAAAGCAGGATAAAAGCACAGAATAAAGGCATACAGAAGTGTATCTTCTTATTAAAAGTGCGTAAGGGATTTTTTCAGTCCGCCATGTTCTTAGCAAGTGCCCTAAAGAGAGGCAGTCACCCCCCTGGAAACATATTGAAAATTTAATATTCCAGGGTGGTGAATGCCTCTCTTTAGGGCACTTGCTAAGAACATGGCCGCCAGCTATTTCGGTGAAAGCGCCTTACGGTTTTGTAATGGAAGTTACACTTCTGTATGTCTTTATTCTGTGATAAAAGCAATAAAATGTTGTATATTTTCATACATTTTGCGAGAAATAGGGATTTTGCTAGCTCTTTCGAGTTTTTGAGAGTGTTGAAGGGTTCTTTTAAGTGAATTTCGTATACCAACCAACCATCAGAAGAATGTGCAAGTGCAAGTGGCAACAAAGTTGAAAATTATTCCTCGACAAACACACAAACCCGAGAATCGTTCATGCTATAAAGCTTAGTAGGAAGAGTACCTTCTAAAAAAGCTAATGGGGCATGAAAAGATGCTACGAAACACTAATCCATCATCTAAGAGCCCGGTAAGTCCAATACGTACAAGATAAATTACACTAACTGCGAGAGTTGTGATATAGCGTGGAATCTCTTGACCAACAATTTTAACCGTTACAGGCAAATTTGAAGATCTGTAACTTTCGCAAATTTGGTTCGCTTACAAATTTTTTTCTTGTTTGTTGAAGTCCAAGATTCGAACTTTCTGACGATATAAATAAGAAGCCCCAACTAGGTGCCACATTTTAGAAATCAGCCTTCAAAGTTAGGCAATTTTTAGGATTTCGAATACGTCGTTATACATAGGGTAGCGTTTTATCCGTTCAACACGCGGGAAGTTACTATTTCATTGCAATATTTTTGTCAAAGAAACAGTAAGAAATGATTTTCATATCACAAAAAAAATTATTGAATTTGGTGAAGCAATGACTTTTTTACACAGCCTTAAAGTTTGACGTATTTTGAGCTTGTCAAAGCTCATTAATTACTCGGCACGGCAGTGACATTTGAATGCTCGAAAAAATATCGTAAATACATTTCTCAACAAAACAAAATCGATTTTTGTGATTACCATGGGAATATCTATCTATCAACAGAGTATAAGGAAAATCGATCTTTAAAGCGAAAATCAGTGGTCGGTTTTTAGTGAGACAGCCTCTTAATGATTATTTATGAAACATCGGCCCTAGTTTAGCTAGCAAAATCGACTCTTCAAATTACAATTTTAAAACGTATGTTAAAAATGGTAAATCAGAGTTTGCTGCATTCCAACCTGTTACTGTCAGTCATGTCTGTCGTCTTTTGCTTGGGCTTTCCGGCAATAAAGCCACTGGCATTGAGAAGATTTCTTGTAAAATTATTAAAAAAGCTGCACCTATCATTTCAGATTCACTGACACTTATTTTTAATCAGGCTATTACTCTATCTTCTTTTCCTGATGAATGGAAAATGGCTAAAGTAGTACCTCTGTACAAAAATGGCTAACGAAATATTCCAGGAAATTATAGATCGATATCAGGTTTGCCGGCCATTAGCAAAATTATGGAACGAATTCGATATGATCAACTGTATGACTATTTAACAAAATTTGAACTTCTTAGTGATTCTCAATTTGGTTTTAGAAAATTTCACTTCACAGCTACTGCATTACTGGACTGTACCAATGATTGGTATGTGAATCTAGACAGAAAAATGTTTAACCTAGTAGTTTTAATTGATTTAAAAAAAGCATTTGATACTGTTGTTCATCAAATTCTATTGAGGAAGTTAGAGCTATATGAAATAAAAGGACAAGCTCTAACTTTGCTCAAATCTTATCTCACAAACCGAAAACAGAAATGTCAAATAAAAAAACTCCTTTTCATCTGAGCGATTGATTAAATGTGGCGTACCACAAGGCTCTATTTTGGGGCCACTATTCTTTTTGCTGTATGTAAATGATTTAACTCAATGTCTAAATAAAACAAAACCTTGTTTGTTTGCCGATGACACAAATCTGACAGCTTCAGGAGATTCTATAACAGATGTTGAGCTTGCAGTTAATTCTGATTTAGAAAACCTTAGAAAATGGTTAATTGCTAATAAACTTAGCCTTAATGTAGCCAAGACCGAATTCATGTTAATTGGTTCAAAACAAAAGATCTCTAATTCTCATCCGAATGTTGTATTGAAAATAAACAAATTAAACAAGTTTATGAATGCAAAACTCTTGGAGTAACAGTTGACCAGCATTTATCTTGGAAAAGTAATACAGAAAATATTTGCAAAAAAATAACAGCAGGAATCTCTACTATTCGTCGAGTCAAACCTTTTGTTGATAAAGAAACACCATGGGCGTACCGGAAGGAAAAATTTAGGGGGCGGAAAGAAAATTGCCCGACTTTTCGTGATTGTGCCCGACTAGTACCGAAAAATTTTTTCCGGAAAAATTATTTTGGCGACCTCCCCCCCCCGGCGCCAAAAAAATTTTGGTCAGTGTACCATTTTAGGGGTCAAAAAAATTTTCCGTACAACCAGTATTTTTCGGAACATAAGACAAATTTGCCAAAAAACCAAAAATTGGCCACCAAATTTACTTAATTTTAGACAAAATTTACAGAATTTGTCCCTTTTTTTTATTGCAAACCAAAATTGCCCGACTGTTGATCGAATATTGCCCGACTGCCCAACAAACTGGGGGGGGCTACCGCCCCCCCCCCCGGTACGCCTATGAGAAACACTTATTTCCATATATAACGCTATTGTTCGCCCATACTTCGATTACTGCTGTGAAGTATGGGATGTGTTTGGCAAAACACAATCAAAACGACTTCAAAAACTTCAAAATAGAGCTGCAAGAATTATTTTGAATATGAGTAATGACGTAAATCATTCTATTGCTTTGTGTGAATTGGGTTGGGAACCACTCAAAACATTAAGAAGAAAGCTAAAGCAAAAATGATGTACGAAGTATTAAATAAAATGGGTCCCAAATCACTCACAAATCTATTTTCTTATAAATGTGAGAAAACAAACTGTCACCTTCGGGACATTTCAACTGGTCTTTGTTTACCAAAACCTCGTTCTAATAACATGAAAAATAGTTTCATGTACAACGGAGTTAAACTTTGGAATTCTATTCCAAAAGAAATTAGGGAAAGCAAATCACTTTCTTCCTTTCGAAATAAAAACGCTGCTCACATTTATGAATAATAAGTATTGTAAATAATGTGTGTAAATAGTCTGCCAACTTTGTCATTATAAACATTAATATGTTACTATGTTATATATGTAGTAATATGTTACTATTTTAATACTCTATATCTCTTAAAACCTTTGTAAATAGCTCTATCACTTTCCTGTACTTGTAAAAATCTTATTCAATTTTTTGGCACACGCCCCTGGTGGAAATCAGCTTCGGTTGACGGGGTCAGCGTGTATAAATAAAAATTTCTATGTATGTATGTATGTATGTATGTATGTATGTATGTATGTATGTATGTATGTATGTATGTATGTATGTATGTATGTATGTATGTATGTATGTATGTATGTATGTATGTATGTATGTATGTATGTATGTATGTATGTGCATGTATGTATGTATGTATGTATCGATCTATCTAATTCTTGGACAATTTTATTTCTCCATATCAATGATATTGAAAATTGTAGTAAATTAGTTTCATTTATATTATTTGCAGATGACACTAATAAATTCTATAGTAACAAGTGTCTAAAAACACTTAATAAGATTATGCAAACTGAAATTGATAAAGTTGCTGAATGGTAAAATGCGAATAAGTTACCTCTAAATACAAAAACAAAAGTAATATTATTCCGATCTTCAAATAAAAAACCAAAGCAAGACATTAAAATTAACGTCAATGGGAATAATATTGAGCAAGTTAGAAATACAATATTCCTTAGTATTGTCATTGACGAATGTTTTACCTGGTAGCAAAGAAATTAATTATAGCTGCTGGTATAATAGCTAAAATACGACATTACGTAAACCGAAATACTGTAAAACTGATATACTATGCATTAGTCTATCCATACTTGATTTACGGCAACCTAACATGGGGTAATACTTACAAAAACAGAATTCAAAAAATAATGAATATACAAAAAAAAATAGCGCGTTTAATGGCATTCAAATCTTACTTTGATCACAGTGAGCCAATTTTCAAAGATTTAAATATCCTCAACATCTTCAAAATCAACGACTATTTAACTGCTTTATTTATGTTTCGATACCACCATCTTAATAACTTACCAGAATTTTTTAAAGATTATTTTGTGACAAACAACCAAATTCATCAATATAACACGAGAAATGCATCAAAACTTCACAAATGTTGTAAAAGAACAAACTATGTACAACACACTCACTCAAGTAAAGGAGTTGACGTATGGAATTCATTAGAAGCACTTTCAAAAAGCAAGTTAAACAACATTTTTTACTATACAATGTATAAGACATGCTATAAAACATTCTGCTATATGACAAAATTAATAGTATATTGTAATCTAATTCTTAGCTATAAGAACCCAAATGCATCTACAACATTGGTATTCACTTCTATAATATTAAGAACAATTTCTCTTCTTTTTCTCTCTTGTAAATATTCACTTCTATACTAAGAACAATTTCTCTTCTTTTTCTCTCTTGTAAATATTCACTTCTATACTAAGAACAATTTCTCTTCTTTTTCTCTCTTGTATATATATATATATATATATATATATATATATATATATATATATATATATATATATATATATATATATATATATATATATATATATATATATATATATATATATATATATGTATATGTATATGTATATGTATA